AGAGACTAGGGAATAATATAAAAGAATTTGTTGAATTTGTTCTCTTCTCTGCCATTTCTTTTCCCTAAACTAGGGAAACATATGGTGAGATTTCGTAGCTAAATAATTATCGTATGTTGGAATATTAACTTTTGACATTGCATCATAATTAAAATACGCCTTAGCAGCAAATGCATGCCTATAATCAGTTCATAGTTTATTCAGTTTTATTTGTTTCCAAATAGAATTTAGTTTAGAATTACATGTACTAATTAACTTTTTAATTTATATTCGAGAATGATGTTTAACTATTTGTTTCTCGTATAAATTGGCAGTTTGTTTTTATTTGTTTCCAAGCTTTGTGTAACAGCTTATATTTATATATCAAACAAATCCCGTTGTATTTTTCTTATATTAGTATCGTTTACCTTTTTCATTAGTATTCTTATTCAGTTTAATTTATTAATTCCCCCCCATTGTATTGTAAGTTATTTCATCTTTCAACTACATTATTGTTCGTTGTTCTTTATTGTGATAAAAGCTTTTTTTATCATTTAGTGTTTTTTTTAATTATTTTACTTTAATTTAAAATTAGATTTTACTGATTATATTTTCATTGCATTGCACTCCATTGCATTTTGCATGTTTCAAACAACAATATTAAATACAAAAATTACAATAAAAAGGGGAAATATAAAAAAAAATACATTTTTAATGACACTGAAAAGTTGAAATTAATACTAATGTAAAATTGCTAAGATTTCTCTGCTGAGATAAACGAAAGGAAATTTATGAAACCCCACAGTTGGGAGGCACGAAGGTCATCTCGCATAAGTGGCAAGGGAGGCTATTCAGACAATGACTATCTCCGCACCCTGAAGGATGGGGGGAGGGAAATTCGCTGGCCGACATTTCGGCCACAGCTGTCTTTTTGAGACACTGCAGCTCTGGCTGATTCTTAGGCCACCCGTTTTTTAAAGGTTAATGGACATTAAAACATGATTTCACTTTGTAGATCCTATTGTAGCTTCAGAATTAAAAACTCTTTTCAACATAATCAAAAGTTCAAACTTTAATTTTCATAAAATTGCTGTAATAATAACAGCCTAGAAAAAATGGTAAGCTGGATCAAATCAGACAGTTAAGGAACAGCGTAATCTGATGTAGTAACTGAAATTCCTTGGAATCAGTAGAGTATAATTTTAGCTTAGCTTAGTAGCATCAGCTATACATTATTAGCTATGTATGTATCATGAGACTGGTAATGAAAGAAGAGTTTTTCCATTAGATTTTGTCTTGCTTCTATCATGCACTCGAACAAATAAGCCTGAATTGTATTATTTTAGTTATTTATTATACTTACGTCTATTTCTTGCACATGCTTGTGGCTTTTCTGAGTTCTGAATAAATTCCCACATATACTTAAAAAGCTTATTAAGGGCAGGCACTAGATGTTTTATCGCCTGATGCAGTTCAGATCTCTGCGGGTCCTAAATTCTGCTGCCAAGTGCCTCCCTAAGTTCTAAATTTTTTCTGCCCCTAAATTTTGGGTCCAGTGTGGCCATACGAGCTGTGGCACTAGTTCTGAGTTTATGTGAATAACAGATTATTCTTAATTCAAATAGCACTAAATGTAATCTTTTGGCCTATGAGTGTCTTTAACAAAATATATTTTTACCATATGGAAAGAAATTTTTGTTAAACTTTTTCTCATCAATTCTTTTCATGATCATCAGCATTTCTTATCATGTTTAACTTAATCACCAAGCATAATGCCAACATAAAAGGTTACCATACTTTTTGTTATTCATTTACTAATAAAAAAAAAAGTTTAGTCATTGCTGCATAAGTCATTGCTCAAATGGTCCTGTGTCGACAAGCATGCAGTGATGAAAGCAGAATACAATAAATAATAATTCATCAGGTTGACATCAGGGATATGAAATATTGGTAGGTATAAAATCAATGATGCTTCCATGTAGAATGTTTCAGTTTGATACGTATGCCAAGCAGATATACAGCTACAGAGCCAAATTATTGATCACACAAATTTGTGCTAAAATAATTGTTTCTTCAATCACAAGTTATTTCATTTAGTGCCAAAGTGAAATTAAGAATCGGGACTCTTCACATGTTGTATTATGGGGGGGGGACAGAATCCGATGCGCATGCATAAAGCATACAAAAAAAAAAAAAATTCCTTTAAAAAAAAAAGGTTTGGTGGGTTTAAGGTCTGGACATTGGATGTTTCGGACTTTTTACTGTATTAGTAATCATAAGATTGTAGGGTAATGTTATACTAATTAAATTTCTGTGACATAACTTGAGCATACAGGTTATTTGGCTACCTTGTCTTTTGATTTTTAAATCTTTAATTTTTTTTTTTTTTTTTTTTTTTTTTTTTTTTTAATATCAAGTGTATAATGTAACAAAATTTTATGGCCATAAAAATAAATTGAAACTTTTAACTTGTCATGCAATAATAAAAGGTAGTCACCTTTTTTTAAGGAGCGGATGCTTTTATTTGAGCATCCCATAGCCATCAGCAGTTTACAGTCAAAAGTCGTTAATCCGGACTCGTCGGGACTTGGCGATTCCGGATTATAGATCATCAGTTTAAATCTCGTAAGATGGCATGCAGAAATTCTAAAATTAAAATTTATGAAATAATTTTAAATTTATGAAATAAAGAACAATTATGATCTAAAGGGTATCAAAATTTACAAAAAAAAAGAAAAAAAAAAGCTTAATATTTATTTGTTTACTTTATTAAACATTTCTTTCAATGTAAGTTATTTAAGTTGCTTCGTTTTATGTGATAATACTTTCTCTTTAATTCTATAAACAGACATAATTTCTTGTTCAGTTACAAAGTTCCGCTGTTCAAGTCCCGCAATTGCTGCCGAGAATACCGACTAACTTGTCAATCGAAATTTTTTCGTTTTCACTAACCTCTCTGTCACCTTCTTCATGTCTTTATCCATTTTTCGAAGCAATTCTACTTTTTGTTTGATGGACATCGAAACATACTTTCGTTTTGTAGATCCTTTAGGAGCTCCAACATCGGAAATTCTATTTGACATAATCGAAAGTTCAAGTTTACTTTTATAACATTGCTCTTACAGTCTGCAAAAAATAATAAGCCGCATCCAATTCGAAGATTAAGGAACAACGCAATCATCAACAATAACTGAAATAGATAATTTTAGCTTATACCGTCTGTTATACATTAAACGCACATGCGAAAAACGTATCCTGCACTTGTGCACACGCATCTGTGTAGTCGGAAATGTCTTACGCGCACGCGTAAACGCCTATGCGCATGTGTCAACGCGGCGCATGCGCAGAAAGTTTTTAGCTTTGAGGTCCGGATTATAGATCATTCTGGATTATGGGTGTCCGAATTAACGACTTTTGACTGTATTAGGCTAATTTGGTCCAGTATTGGTTCACTATTGTAGTGGCCAGACTTTTGTCAAAATTTTTTATTGAATTTTTTATTTATTCATTTATTTATGACAGAGTTGTTCCATCACTGTACAATATGCAACTCCAATTTTCTTTTATTGTGAATAAAAGTATGTACTAAATATAATGCAAATTTTTAACTGTTTTCGAAAAAATTTGTATTAATAACCATGTTGACGTTTTACAAAAGGCTTGAGTTTAACAATCTATGGAAATTTGAGACAATATCAAGACTTCTTTTCAAGAACTTCATACGTCTTGAATACAAGAACTTTAGACCTTTCATTTTGTTTTCATATTTCTAAATTATATTTTTACATGTTTTTATATATTCTGAATTTGAATAATAATGTAGATTAGTTCACAACAATAATGAATCATTTATTTGTGTGCATTAAATTTCATTTAAATTAACTTTAAATTTGCTTTTTACGAATAGAGAATATTTGTTAAATTTGTATGTTTTTATATATCTGGATATAAGAAAATTAACCAAATGACAGAGTATAGCGAAACCTCAAGAATATGTCCCTGAAGCCGTCCATTTGCTTTCTCATACTAACTGTACATATAAAATAATATTTCTTTACTACTGCTCAAATTTTTGCTAAAAAGGTTTTCTGTTGCGAAGTCTTTTCTTCTTTGAAGGGCGGATATGTAAGATAAAAAATATGTAAATCAAAATTAGCCCCTTAATTCTTCTCTCTGTTCTAAAAATTGTTACTTTTCTGAACTACATACGTTTCTAGATCAATCCATTTTGCATGGCTTGCATAATGCTTATGACATGACTTATTCGAAACCCAAACTCAAAATTTTTAGAACCAAAACCTTCCTCTTGGTGCTCTTCTTGGATGCTCTGCTTGGATGCAGTTTCACTGTGCTCTCTTCCTACTGCAATAATATCAAAAATGTAAATATTCTTGAATTAGGTGCCAAGTTAAACTGTGGCCACTAATGGGAATTTAAATAAAAATAGAATTTAATCCACCTTGACTGCCAAGTTTACTATTCGTTATGGATTAGCATGCTACACAATCAAAATTCTTCCTCTTCAGTATGGATGTACAAGGTTCTGAGCTTTCAAGTATTTACACCATTGGTATTTCTGCGTTTCTACATCTATGTATTCGTACATCAGTTCTTTTAAAATTTGCTTTTATTACAATTAGCCGGTAGGATTGGTTCTACTATGTCTAAATTTTTTTCATTTCATCTATATATTTCTCTGATAAGAGCTTTAGGAAGTCCTTAAGTAATTCTAAAGAGCTCTGTAATTTATATCTGTGGGAAATGTATGATTCACTAACTAAAAATGCAAAAACATTTTGAAAAAAAATCATAATTAGTAAGAAAACTTTGTTATTCAAAATGTTTTTATGCTTATTTATGAAGTAGCATTATTTGTTCTAAATATTGATTTTCTTAAATGGCATTCTTAAAAAATAATTATTTTATTATTTTAATATATTTTTCATTTAATGCTTTAATTTTAAGTGCATATTTCTGTGTAAAAATTGATTTCTTCTAACATTTTATTATATTTTTCATAGATGTGTATATTTTGCGCAAAGAACACCATATTGTTGGCTCATTGGTTGGTTGTTATCCAACAAAACCTTTTCAGATTCATGCAAAATGGCTTCCTCAACAGTTAATGCCTGAAGAAACTACACTTTTGCTAGAAAAAGGTAAATGTGCTTCTTTTTGGTTGATGTGGATATGACATTTTTACAGGTATAGTTAAAATACACTAGTGAACTTCAAATAATTTAACAATTTGTTTGTTGCCTAAATGATCAAAGTAGCTAATTAAGTAGTCATAAATTGTCTAAAAATGTATGAAAATTCAGTTTTAACAACTGGTTCGCTGAACTTAAATATTATAGAAGGTTTCTGCCAAATTTTCTTCGGATTAAACATCAGATTAATAACTGGCATAATTTTACATTTATTTGCTTCAGATGCAGTAATGAAGAACTTAGGAATAGCATAGATCAGAGCTTCTTAAACTTTTTTCATTCATGATTTTTTTCATTGTCAAGTTTTTCTTGGGACTATAGCAATTAAAATGGAAAAGTTAAGAGCTTTTAATGCCAGGGGAAATCCAGTTCTAGCTTCAATCCAGAATTTAATCAAGAATTTTCATTCAAACTCAAGTTTTAAATTTTGATCAATCGATAGCTTAACAAATTTCTCTTGAGCTTTCTAGCAAGTGATTAATCTTATTAATGCCAATCAAAAATATGATTTTTGAATTTTAGATAACTTTTTAAATCAGAATGTTTCTAGGATTTTTCAATGATGTATAATTTTTGCAGTTACTTTCATTTTCAATTATAAAATTATCAATTGTTCAAAACATTTTGAATGAACCATTTTCCACCTTATGCTTCCAGTTATTGATTTTTTAATAAAACTTTCAATTTTATCTTTTGAAGTAAAAATATTTTGCTAACTTTTCATTGAAAAGACAAGTTGAGATCATTTAGTCTTTGAAAAATATCTGACGAATAGCACAGTTTTGATTGCAATAAATGATTTTGAAAAAGAGCAATAAGATGAGATTTTTGTTTAGTTAAAAATATAATAATTGTGCCTTTTAATAATAATAATCTTCTTAAACCTTGCCTTAATAACAATAATTTTTATATTCAAGTGCCATGTCTTTACAGAAGTTGGAAAATAAATGAATGTTAAGGGCTTGGCATGTAATAAAGTTTATTGCATCAGAAAGCACATTGTTTGATTTCATTTGTTATGTTTTTACTGCGAGGGCCTTTCAATAGATCAGGCAGCGCGTAAAAGTCACATGTTCATTACTAACAGTTTCAACAAATGATTGAAAACCAACATTTTTGCCCACCATCCCTTTTGCACCATCTTTACATACTCTAATGCAGAGTTTCTTCAACTGTGGGTTGCGGGACCTGCAGCAGGGGGTTGCCAAAAATTTTAACAGTTTTGATATTTCTTTAACTTATTATAATAATTTTACTATTACAAAATACAGTACAAAGACCGAAATCCGGACTCGTCAGGACTTTGGATTTGGGATTTAGATCATCAGTTTAAATCTAGTAAGATGGTATGTAGAAATTATAAAATTAAAATATGAAATCGTGATTTATGAAATAATGAAGTATTTGTGATCTAAAGGATATCAAAATTTGCAAAAAAAAAAAGCTTAATATTTATTTGTTTACCTTATTAAACATTTCTTTCAATGTAAGTTGTTTGAGTTGCTTTTTTTTTTTTTTTTCTTCTAATACTTTCTCTTTAATTCTGTAGACAGACATAATCTCTTGTTGAAGTAGTGTAACTGCTGTTTCGAGAATTCCGACTAACTTGTCAGGCGAAATTTTTTCATTTTTCGTAACTTCTCTGTCACTTTCTTCACTATTGGTAGCGGTATTTTCTGGATTTAGAACCATACTACAGGTTTTGCCATTCATTAATTGATTGATGATTGAGATGATTACAAAATCCATTAATTGCAAAACTTCACCTATGTTTTTCAATATCCGAAAACCTTTAAAATTCGCGGCTGTAATCATTAAATTTAGCTATCCTTCACTATACATATTTGCCTATGCATCATGATCTGGGCGACTAACGACAAATTGTTCCGTTAAATTTTATCTTGCTTCTGTCGTGCACTGAGACAGTTAAGCCTGAATTATATTAGTTTACTTATTTATTATACTTATGTCAGTTTTTTGCAGATGCGTAAGGCTTATCAGAGTTCTGAATAAATAAATTCCCACACATACTTAAGCCTTATTGAGGGCCGGCGCTAGATATCTTACCACCTGATGCGGTCTCTATGGATCCTAAATTTTCTACTCGATGCTGCCATACGAGCCCTGCTGCTGGTTCTGGTTTTATGTGAATAACAAATCAGTTATTCTTAATTCAAATAGCCCTAAATGTAATCTTTGGCTTTATGAGTATCATCAACAAAATCTATTTTTAGCATATGGAAAGAAATTTTTGGTATATTTTTCCTCATTAACATATTTTAGCGCATTTAACTTAAATCTGTAATCATTGCCAAGTGTAATGTCAACATAAAAAGTTACCATACTCCTTTATTATTCAACTACTAACATTAAAAAATTGTTTATGCATCACTACATGAGTCATTACTCAAGTTGTCGTGTTTTGATAAACATGCAGTGGTGAAAGGAAAGTATGAAAAATAATTATTCACCAGGTTGGTGTCAAATCAACGATGTATGTATGTGGAATGTTTCGATTTGAGATATATGCCAAGCAGATATGCAGCAATAGAGCCAAATTACTGATCGTACAAATTTATGTTAAATGATTGTTTCATTAATAACAAGGTACAGTACAAAGTCTTTAATCCGGAATGATCTATAATCCGTACCTCAAAGCTAAAAACTACGTGTTTAATGTATAACGGACGGTATAAGCTAGGCTAAAATTATCTAAGGCATTTCAGTTAATGTTGCAGATTGGGCTGTTTCTTAATCTTCTAATTGGATCCGGCGTATTATTTTTTGCAGACTGTTAGAACAATTTTATGAAAAGTAAGCTTGAACTTTCAATTATGTCAAAAAGAGTTTCCAATTCTGGAGCTGCCAAAGGATCTACAAAGTGAAATCATGTTTTGATGTCCATTAAACAAAAAGTGGAATTGCTGCAAAAATGGATAAAGGCATATCTGTGTCAAAATTATGTGAGGAGTATGGCATTAGATGAGACACACACACACCAAAAAAAAAAAGAAAGAAAAAGGAATTTTTTGTGGAAGCATCTTAAACAACTTACATTGAAAGATATATTTAATAAATTAAACAAATAAATATTAAGCTTTTTTTGTAAATTTTGATACCCTTTAGATCATGATTGCTCTTTATTTCATAAATTATGGTTTCATATTTTTAATTGTATAATTTCTGCATGCCATCTTACCAGATTTAAATTGATGATCTATAATCCAGATAACCCCTAATCCAGAATTGCGGAAGTCCCGACGAGTCCGGATTGTGGACTTTGTACTGTATTCTATTTAGTGTCAAAGTGAAATTAAGAATCAGGACTCTCCAGATGATTTATTATGCATGGAGGAGGGGAATCAAATGCGGATGCATAAAGCCTAGGAGAAAAACATTGCTGGGGGTTTTGAAGTCCGGATTTTAGGTCAGTCTGTATAATGGACATCTGGATTTCGAACTTTGTACTGTATTTTTACACAGTGTCTCTGAAAATAGATAAAGATAAGACAATATAAACAAAGAAAAAAGTTTCAACTGATTTTTTTATATATAATATAAACGTTCATTTTCCTTGCTTTACATGTGATGCTGTCATTCTGTTACGTATGTTAAATTTTCATGTTGTTCTATGTATTAAAATTACTAAAACTGCAATAGTATATTACAGTACAAGTGAAAAATTGACAGTTGTGTGTTGGATTTACGCAAGGCTTATGGGGTCCCAGAAAATGTTTGTAAATATTATGGGGTTCTGTGGGTCGTGAAACAATCTCAGTAATAAAAAGGGGTCGCGAGCGAAAAAAAGTTTTAAGAAACCTTGCTCTAGTGCAATTTTTCCATTCTAAACATTGAACTTAAAAAAAATTTTTAACTTTACTATATACAGTACAAAGTCTGAAATCAGGACTCGTCGGGATTTCGGCGATTACGGATTTGGGATTTTTCTGGATAATAGATCATCAGTTTAAATCTAGTAAGATGGCGTGTAGAATTTATAAAATTATGAAATCACGATTTATGAAATAATGAATTATTTATGGTCTAAAGGGTATCAACTTTACAAAAAAAAAAAAAAAAAAAAAAAAAAAAGCTTAATATTTCTTGGTTTACCTTATTAAACATTTCTTTCAATGTAAGTTGTTTTAAGTTACTTCATTTTTTGTACTAATACTTTCTCTTTAGTCCTGTAATTGGTGTTTCAAGAATTCCGACTAACTTTTCAATTGAAATTTTCTTGTTTTTGATGATTGTATAGATTAACAAAGGAATTTTCCAAATTTGTTCTCTGTATTTACCATTTTATTAGCAGCCAATAATACAAGATGTTCCCCCAGTTTTGTAAATTATTTATTTTTTACAAACAGATATAAAACTCTGTATGGTGCAAGTAAATATTTTTTGTGAATGGTCATAAATTTCTCAAAATATCGGTTTCTTTATTTGAAGATTTTATTAACATACGAACAATGCTTGGATTCAAGATGTCTTTCTAATTTTGGTTGGTTTCATATTCTCCATAGCCAAAACATTGTTGCAAATTAAACAAAGAGGTTTGTCATTGCCATCACAATTGTTGGAAATAAAGCTAAATTAGAGAAATGTCTTATCAGGCTTTTTTTTGGCATATTAGATGCTTCTTTTTGTTTATTGTTCTTGTAGTGATGAAACAAAACAACAGACTATTACTGGAAAACCATTATCATCATACTAGTCATGGTGACTCCTACTTTACTCTTGGCACACCTGTGTAGTGCAGGATGTTACATGCTATGCATTTGTGGCATATTTTGATTTTTAAAATAATTTTGAGGCTGAAATTGCAATGTGACGCTGCTGTTTTGATACACTTCGGGGTATTTTTCAATATGTAAATGTAATTTAAGCTTAACTTAGCCAATATTGTGATTTTGTAATTGCACTGCTCGGAAAATGTATTAAGAGTAAAG